TAAATTGGTTACCATTTAAGCAAGCAGAGCAGATGACCCCACACACGGCATGGCCTTCACGTGGCTGGCGCGAAATTTTAAATCTCTCGGATTAAGGTTATAGCTCCTTTTAAATTTTGTATTGCCACATGTAGCACCTTTTTTTTCTTTCTAATTTACGATTAACGCCACCGCTTTATTGCAAACTCTGGTATATGGAAGTTGGAACATAATCGGTTATGGGTTTTAGTTTGTGTCGATTGATGTTGTTTTTGACCCTTATGTCTATAATCATAACAACCTCAGCTTCAAGTCGCTAAACTAATGATAAAAGAGAATGAAATTATTGAAAAAGTTAAAAAGGGTTTAGTAGTGCCTTATCCATTAGTCGGTGATTTGATTAGGTGCCTAATTACAGTAACTCTTACAATAATTCAATATTTGATTTGATTTGTGAATCTACTAAGATTTTGCCTAATTCTAATTGCTGTCGAGTCAATGACAAAAGAAAATTCATTGAATCAACCATTTTAGGTGGGGATGATTCGATAAGGACTTTTAAATATATTACTCAAGAGATTCCGAGTTCAATTAGATAATTATTAAAACTCTTAGTTTATAGGTTAGTTGAACACGACACCTTCAATAAAAAAAAAAAAAAAAAAATTCATTGAATCATGTTAATTAGAGCTCTTATCTGACCAATAGTTTTAAGGTTTCAAGAAATTAGTTAAAATATACATAAGTTAGACTAGATACCCCGATCATTAAAAAAAAAAAATCATTGAATCATATTACAATAACTAACGAGTGATGTTATAGTTATCGAAGGGTATGTACTAAATTTGTGCATCGAATAATGTGGTAAAATCCTGACTGTTGATTCATTATAAGTTAATATTAATCAACGGTCAGGATTTTGTCACGTCATTCGATACACAAATTTGGTGTGTAACTTTCGGTAACTCTATCATTTTTCATAACTAACATGACATTTAGTGGAGGCTTAGAGCATTTCCAAATGACTCTTTATATGATTCAAACTCTTTATTATAAAGAGTTTATCAATAAAAATAAGAGTCCAACAGATTATTTATTCTTTAAATATAAACTAAAGAGTGCGTTTGACTCTTCACATCAAATTTTACTCTCTATCATAATTTTAAATAATAAATTACAAGCTTTTATGCATTTTATTTATTATTTATCTCTTTTATTAAGTTTCTGTTTTGAAAAACCCTATTATCTCTCCTAAAATTTAAATAATCTATCAGATTTAAATAAAAATTAATAAAAATTCTTTACTTAGATACTATTTAAAATAAACTCATAAAACAAATACAATTTGACTGTGGTCATAAAAAGATGGTATAGAAAAGGGAATTGAATGGCTGAACAATAATTGTTACAATGTTCCGAGGAATCATGATTCGAAAAATGGCGAGATAGTAATTTAAAGAAGCATTGAATGTTAAAATTGGAAGAAATGAAAAGCTTGCAAGAAATAGAAACTGGTTGAACAGTAAAGAACACATGCGTTGTGTCGTGCCCATACGTCATTAAATTTTTTATAAAAAAATGCTTCGATAGACGACAACCTTAACGTAATCCAAACTCCGGAGGTAGCTCTTTTGCTTTCGATCTTACGCTACAATTGAATTAAAAATCTAATCTTAAGTCTTTCTCTTTCTCTAGAATAAAAATCTCCACAATAATAAATGAACTGAACTGTTCATTTGGTAAGTTTTTAATTAGTTTCTGGAGATAACAGAAGTGTATTCGTATTTTTAATTAATATATATTTCTGGTACTATGTTATTTTTATTAATCTTTGCTCCTGTCGGTGATTCAAAGCTTCAGTAAGAGTAACAGATACTCGTTTTTTTTTTTCTGTAATTTGAAGAAGGAGGAGGAGGAAAGTAAGAAGATAATTGATCGAAAGATGGTCGAAACAGCGAACCACCAGCATGCACTGCCGGCTCAGTCGGCGCCACCACCACGACCACCTACATCTCTTGCAGTTACAAGGGGTCCCACTTGGACTCCGGCCGAGCAACTTCAACAACTCCAGTACTGCATCCACTCCAATCCTTCTTGGCGTTAGTCTCTTTCTTTCTCTTTTTGATGGTTTCTTGTTCTGTATTGGATATTTATCTTCTACTTTATAGTATAATCATTGTTTTTAGTATTGTTCTTTCTGTTTATTCCGAAAAAAAAGCTGGGTATTATTTTTAGTGTTGTTCTTTCCGTTTATTCCGAAAAGGAAAGCTGGGTAAAGTTTAGATTCTATGGTAAAGTGAATTCTTTTTGTTTTTAATATAAATTTTTATAGTTCTGCTGCATGTCTACATCTATGTGATCGACTTTAGAACATAGCTGATCATCAGTTTCTTTTTATTTATGGATTCTTTTTACCTCAGTTTTGCTGATCAACATCTTTTGATCCTGGGATTTGTTTATGTTTCATATTTGTTTAGTCTAGCCAATCCTTTACCTTAAAATCAACGCCTCTTCTTCTCCTTCTTTTTTCTTCAATAAAAAGAATGTGTTGAATTTCATCTAATTGAAATCTAGAACAAGTCTAAACTGCCGTTATTTCCCTGCTATTTTGATTTATATTTCGTACACTAATTTTATTTATTTATTTTTGTAAAAGGAAATGAGATTTCGGGCCTACTTCTAAATTATGCTCTCAACTTTTTTACTAATCATAATTAATAAATTGTGTTTCACAGCCCAGACAGTCTTACTGGCTTTCCAACACTATATTGTAATGCTTGGAACTGCTGTCTTGATTGCCAGTGCACTTGTGCCTCAGATGGGTGGGGACAATGTACGTTTCAATCCACCAGATCAGTTTCTTATAATAAATACACTGACTGATAAATCTCAACTTCTGAGAATTGGTGTTGATATGAACAGGGTGACAAAGCCCGAGTGATTCAATCATTGCTGTTCATGTCAGGAGTGAATACACTGCTGCAAACACTTTTCGGCACAAGGCTTCCTACGGTGATGGGTCCATCAGCTGCTTTCACCCTGCCAGTATTGTCAATCATCAATGATTACTCTGATAGGACGTTCACATCCGAGCATGAGGTATAGAAAGTTCCAATGAGATTCAATTGAAAAGTGAGGAAAAAAAATAGATAGCCTGTTAATATGTGAGGTGCGTGTGTTGATTTTCTGCATAAAGGACGTGTGATGGTGTTGAAACATTGGTACATATAAAATTATTTGCGATGAAGTTAGAATCATTAATTTTTTAGTAAGCTTCTGCAACATACAATTTCTTCTAGATTTTTGTGGTATGGACAACTGTTGCAGATTTTCAAGTATTTTAAATGTTAGTATGAATACTCCTGAATCATATCTGCAATTAATTCTTGAATAGTTCTTGGGTGGAAACATGCTCTTTCTTGTAAGATACCTTGTTCTTTCTCCCTTGAATTAATTTTATCTATTTTTACTAATTATTTTTGCTCAAGAATATTGTAAGCATTTGCTACCAGAATCTCAGTTATTTATACTTTACTGTATAAAACTGCCTCTTGCCTTTTGATTGTCTACCTATATTAATGTGCCATCCTGTATACTGCACTGAATGCTCTGATAGTTATCATGGTTGCTTGCAGAGATTTCTCCATACCATGAGAACTATACAAGGATCATTAATTGTCTCTGCATTTCTCAACATCGTGCTTGGATATAGTCAGGCTTGGGGTAATCTAACAAGGTAATATAGTCGAGTTTTGAACTTAAATCTTGTTCCTGCATCTTTAATGCTCAAGACTCTTAGTTATGGTCTGATACCTATTTGAGAAAATTAATTGGGTCTCAGAGCTGGTTTTTACTTGTCCCTCTTTTCTTTTGCTACCTCCAGATTATTTAGTCCCATTATCATCGTTCCAGTGGTTTGTGTAGTTGGTCTTGGTCTGTCCATGAGGGGCTTCCCACTGGTAATTCTTTCATCTGGCCTTCCAATTTTTGGTGGCTCTGAAAAATTCATACTAATGAAGACTTTTATTTTACTACTACTATGCTCTATACAGCTTGGTAATTGTGTGGAAATTGGCCTGCCTATGCTGATTCTACTAGTTTTTTGCCAGCAGGTATTATACCTTGTTCCCATTTTCACTATCACTACTAGTATTTTAATGTTCTCTGTAAATGTAAGAAACCTTTATGTGCTTGGTGCAGTTCTTGAAGCGCATCCATTCGAAGGCTCATTTCATAGTTGAGAGGTTTGCTTTGCTTTTCTGCATTGCAATTGTTTGGGCTTTTGCTGCTATCCTCACTGTTGCTGGTGCTTACAACAATGTCCCAGAGCGGACTAAACTGAGTTGCCGGACAGATGGTTCTCACCTTATGTCATCTGCTCCTTGGTATTGTCCAGATGATTTGTTTTTTTTCCTCTTGTTCATTTTAATTGGAAATTTATTGAATGACATTATTTTATTTATGACACTTCATTTGGTATTCTTTCCAAACTAGGATTAAGTTTCCATACCCATTTCAGTGGGGTACTCCAATATTCAGAGCAAGCCATGTCTTTGGGATGATAGGAGCAGCACTTGTTTCATCCGCAGAGGTTCAATTACTAGTTTTTTCACATTTGATATACCTTGGATATTGACATTTAAATTTGTACTTTTACCTATTTTAAAATTTGGGAACTATTTTAACTGATAAAAATTCCTTAAGCTGTGGATAGACTTCAATATATTTGGTCTCTAAATGGTATACAGGCTAAAATGTAATCAGTTGCTTGTCTTATTTGATTGAAAGAACAGAGAAATCTGGTATTTGAATAATTGCTTTTGAAATCTTTTGGTGCAGTCAACTGGAACATTTTTTGCGGCATCACGGTTTGCAGGTGCCACTGCCCCCCCAGCACATGTCCTCAGCCGAAGTATTGGCCTCCAGGTCCTGGCAAAGATTGTTATGCTTCTTTTTCTATTTGGTTTCGTTATTTTATCCATGATATATTTATTTTTTAAATTCATATGTAATGAGTTTCTATAGTTATTTTACCATTTAGATTTAGAAAAATAAAGTTGGCTTTATCAAATGCAGGGTATTGGCATGCTGATTGAAGGGATGTTTGGTTCTATTGTTGGTACCACTGCATCTGTGTAAGGAAGCAACACTTAATGACAGTTAAATATATTTGTTTTTCTCCATTATGACTTAGATATTGGCCTTTTATGAGTTCATTTTTATCACATTTGTTAGGTTCTTGCTCTCATTTATAGTGTCACGCATATTTGGGTCCAGAAATGAAATGTCAAGACTTAATGAAGTTAGACTGTCACATAGGCAAGTAGGGATAACTGAAATCATCAAGTTAGCTATCTGAAAAGAAGCCTTCAGTGCCACCATTGGAATGGGCAATTGTTGGATTCTATCTTACTTTAGGCCTTGTATTTGATGCGTACTTTTAGCAGATTGTTACTCCTTATACCCAGTTCATGAAATAATAACACCTTGTACGATTACCTTCAAACTGTTTGTTCTAAATCTCTTGTATTTTGTTCTAAAGTAGGAAGCCAAGGCAAAGTGTCTTGTAGAGCAGTGACTAAAAGTGAAAATGAATTGACAAGCTGTTTCGAAATGTACCCAAGATTGTTTTTTAGTCACCATCGAAATGATATTACAGGGAAAATGTTGGCCTTCTTGGACTGACGCACATAGGCAGCAGAAGAGTGGTTCAGATTTCAACTGCTTTCATGATCTTTTTCTCCATATTTGGTTTGTTTTTTGACCCCTCATAAATTGTATTCAACTCTGCATAATTTTTAATAATTTTGTACTGACCGTGTAAAGTTTTTCAGGGAAATTTGGAGCCTTCTTTGCATCCATTCCTTTACCAATATTTGCAGCCATATATTGTGTTCTATTAGGAATTGTTGGTGAGTGATGATGTTGTCATTACTCATTATGGTCTTTCTCTTTTTTTAGTTGTTTCCTTTTTCCGGTAATGGGAATTTGCTCATTGGATGTGTTTTCATTTTTGCAGCTGCTGTTGGGATTACTTTCATTCAGTTTGCTAATAATAATTCCATGAGAAACATCTACGTTTTGGGTGTCTCTCTGTTCCTTGGCATATCAATTCCTCAATACTTTGTCTTGAACACCACTCCGAATGGTCATGGACCGGTAGGAACGCCTGGGGGATGGGTAAGTTAACTGGGGAACATGCTATACTTCTAAATTTTACCATGTTTATTTCCGGATGCCATTAAATCCTTCCGATGTTTTTCGTCTATCACAAACCTTGTCTATTGAAGTGTGAGATAGGATGCAAAAGAATTTATGGAGTTATTGGATGATAGGCATGATACACTGATTAAAAAAAATAAAAAAATAAAAAAATAAAAAAATAAACCTGGTGCACGACTGGGCACATGCATCTAGTAAATCGTGCTTTGACGTTATGACAATTTCCGAAGTAATCTAGTTTGTATTACTACCACTTAAGATCCATATAATATTAAATTAGTTTTCCTACTTTTAGGTTTTGACTAATGGCACTGACTTAAAGGTGAAGAGCCCATTCTGATAAAATTGCTATTTCTGTAAGAAAGCTTTTTTCTTTTCTTTTTGGCCTCCAATATTCAAACTTCAAAGTAGGGTGTGAGGCATATTCTTTGCAAATGTCGGGGATTTGGTGTCTCTGCATTTTGACTTATAGTATTGATTCTGTTGAATAGTTTAAGGTGTGAGATATTTAACAATATATTTTGTGAAAGCCATTAGTTACTTACCTAGATATTTTTTATGTATTCAGAAATTTCTCATCTGTTATCATACATATGGTTTGTGGTGTTTACAATTTAATGACATATTGAACACAATCTTCTCATCACCTCCAACTGTTGCAATGACCGTTGGGACACTGCTTGATAACACACTTGAAGCAAGGGAGACAGCCGTAGACAGAGGACTTCCTTGGTGGAAACCATTCCAGCACAGGAAGGGAGATGTCAGAAATGAGGAGTTTTACAATTTCCCTCTCAGAATAAATCAGTACATTCCTACTAGATTTATGTGATTACACACTTAAAACTAGCTACTTTTATATTAATTATGATGCTATAAGTAACTTTCATGTTTATATGCAAGTTGAGTTGAGTTGAGATATGATTTATATGAGAAAAAAGAAAAAGAAAACCTCCCATGTCCCAAAAGGTTTTTCCCAGTAGCCTTCTGAATCTGAAGGTCCTTTGGGCACGGGAGTGTTTGGCCATCACTAGAGGTTTAAGAAACATTTTGTTGGCTTTTGGTTTATTTTGAAATTAAAAAGAAGAAATGTTGCGGGCAGAAAATAATGTGATGAAATTTTGTATGAAATGTGAAGGCATTTATTTTTCGGTGAGTGTTAGATGTCAATAAGTTACATCCGAAACCGACCAAAGAAGCTATTGGTTCATATAATATTTTATCGGGGACCACATGTTCAGTTTTCAACAAATTTTCTCAGTTTCCAATGGTGTATTCCAGTATATTCCTTAATCTATGTTGACAGAAACTTCATTTTCAGCTTTCTCCTCTATAAACAGAAGACAACTTCAAATGGTCCCCTTTTTCTTTTCGTCTTCTTATAACTTACAATTGATGACATAGTATAATCAAATGTACCAAATTTCAAGGCCTAACTTTTGGATTCACATGGAAGTTGCTTCGTTAATATCTTTAGTGACTCTTTGACGGTCCCCATCGCCTACCACTAATGTCATTACCAGCAAATATATATTTAGTCTTTTTTTTTTTTTTTTTAGTGGTGTTTTGTATGCCATTGATGCTTTTTGACACCAGTAATTTGTACAAGTGTTAAATAAAGTTTTAAAAATCACACGTAAATAATTATAAGAGTTAAATAAAGTATTGTTTTCACAATAGTATGCAAAGACGTAAAAATAAATGAGATAATAAAAGTTTTTATAGTGGTTCAGATGCTTAAAGTGATTCATATATCCATTGTTTTCTTATATAATAGTAAGTTTCTGATTATTAGCTAATATTACAAGAGGCCGTGAACGACCTGGTTTATAGGTGTTTAGTGTTCTAAATATTGTTAGAGAATATCAAGTNTGAGGAGTTTTACAATTTCCCTCTCAGAATAAATCAGTACATTCCTACTAGATTTATGTGATTACACACTTAAAACTAGCTACTTTTATATTAATTATGATGCTATAAGTAACTTTCATGTTTATATGCAAGTTGAGTTGAGTTGAGATATGATTTATATGAGAAAAAAGAAAAAGAAAACCTCCCATGTCCCAAAAGGTTTTTCCCAGTAGCCTTCTGAATCTGAAGGTCCTTTGGGCACGGGAGTGTTTGGCCATCACTAGAGGTTTAAGAAACATTTTGTTGGCTTTTGGTTTATTTTGAAATTAAAAAGAAGAAATGTTGCGGGCAGAAAATAATGTGATGAAATTTTGTATGAAATGTGAAGGCATTTATTTTTCGGTGAGTGTTAGATGTCAATAAGTTACATCCGAAACCGACCAAAGAAGCTATTGGTTCATATAATATTTTATCGGGGACCACATGTTCAGTTTTCAACAAATTTTCTCAGTTTCCAATGGTGTATTCCAGTATATTCCTTAATCTATGTTGACAGAAATTTCATTTTCAGCTTTCTCCTCTATAAACAGAAGACAACTTCACATGGTTCCCTTTTTCTTTTTGTCTTCTTATAACTTACAATTGATGACATAGTACAATCAAATGTATCAAATTTCAAGGCCTAACTTTTGGATTCACATGGAAGTTGCTTCGTTAATATCTTTAGTGACTCTTTGACGGTCCCCATCTTCTACCACTATAATGTCATTACCAGCAAATATATATTTAGTCTAGACAAGTTTTTATTTTATTATTTTTTTTGAGTGGTGTTTTGTATACCATTCATTGTCGATTTTGATAGCAATAAATTCATACATGTAAAGTGTTAATAAAGTTATAAAAATCACACATGAATAATTATAAGAATTAAATGAAGTATTGATTTTACAAGAGTATGCAAATACCGAAGATAAATAAGATAATAAAGGTTGTTATAGTGGTTCAAATGCTTAAAGTAATTCATATATCTACTGTTTTCTTATATAATAATGTTATTAGTCAAGATTACAAGAGGTCGTGAACTGCAATCTGGTTTACATGTGCTTAGTGTTCTAAATATTCTTAGAGAATATCAAGCCAATCTTTTTCTAATAGTGTGTCTTTGCTATTTTCTTTGTTTAGTTTAAAGTGTCAAATCTCGATTTTGTGAGGGGGAGCTACCTATTTATATCTGCTGAGTTCAAAGTAATAATTACATATCTGCAAGTGGGTTGGTACCATGCAAATCTCTTTTATCTTTCCATTGCTGAGAACTTAAAAAATATCTTTAAATTAAATGAGGTTTAGACATGTGTGCGAACCAAATTCATTCATAGACAAAACTTGAGTCAGTTAGGTTATTGACAATTATATTCTTTCTGTCTTGGGTGATGTGGTAGACTCTAGATGATGCAAAACCTTCCTAAACTCTGATTAGTACTTGCTGACATCAGTTTATGTAAGCCCTAATCTTTTAGGCAAAACATATACAAAGTTTTTATTAAATTTTACTCCTAATAAATTAATTTCTTCTATTAATTGTGTGGATCACATTTTATATACAAATTTCAAACCTATAAATATTCTGTTTCATGTTGACGAGAATGGAGATGATAACGTGGGACCTTCGTACCATCATCAATTTCTTGTTTTTTGGTTGACTGGACATGGACGTCGATATTATTGATCAAAGATGATACAATATTTCCAATAAGAAATTTTCGTCAAAGGATGCTTTCGTTTGTGAGAAAAATGACGTCAAGGCTGGTATCATCAACATAAAAGAAAAATTATACCCCCACTTTAGAAATTCGTCACCACAGACTGAGCAATAAAGATATTCAAAAGACGATGATGATGATAATGATGTGTAGCATTAGTTTTTAGCGGTTTTAATGCTCGTTTAGTAAAAGCCCTCTCTAAGTCTCAGTGGATTATAATATTATTAAATATGGTCTTCTCTTAATCAGGATTCATGATCAGCATTACTGTACCCAGCAGTGAAAAGTGAAAGGCACCCTTCTTCAGATAAGATGAATGATTGAAATTGAATGCTTGCTTGCCCATAAAGCTTTGTGAATATAACAAAAAGAGTGACTTGAAAAGTGAAAAGTATTACCAAGTGAGAATACAATTATTCCAAACCCTGGGGCTTGGTCGTCTAGATAATCTGCATTTGATATCATTCCATCATAGTTGATCTTGGCAAGCAAAAAACAACTTTTATTTATTTAAGCACAAGTTTTCCTAGCCATCCCACAATCTTAATATATGCAAACAAGATTGTGAAGAGATCGGGGAAGCGACAAAGGCCGGCGTTGTCTGAAATTGATATGAGAGGGTCCACACGCTTTTGTTCCCGCGTTTCTTAAGGGAGGACTTTTGAGGCAGTCAAGCAATTATAATCAAACCCCGTTCTCCACCTATATACTACACCTTATTTGCTTAAGTTAGACACGTTTAGCTGCAATGCAAATTTTCCACAGTATCTCACTCAAGCTCATAACATGGAGCTGTCCCACACATATATATTTTTTAAAATAAATTTCTAGTTACGAGTTCAACTAAGATGTGCTTCATTTCATTGTTAAAACTGACTATTGTTAAGTTATTTACATTGACAGAGTAATACAATCTGTTTATTCATGAAGCCAATCCAGACTAAAAAATTTCTCCGGAACCTGAACATGGAGTCCTGGTATAGCCTTCTCCAAATCCTTCCACAGCCAAGAAATATCATCATCACAAATTACTTGACGTAGAGCCTTCAATGAAGCAGCAGACTTTGGTAGACTCCATATTTGTGAACACTCCCTCATGTCAATTTTCTCCAGCCTTGCTAAATTACCAATCCCTTGAGGAAGACATGTTAAGCTGACACATTGAGAAATGTTGAGGTATTTCAAACTAACTAGCTCAGAAATGCCAGTTGGGAGAGTCTTAAGAAGAGGGCTTGCATAGAGCCGCATAATTTCTAGAGATTTCAACTTGCCAATGTCAGCTGGCAATTCTTGTAAACTGTGGCAGTTAGTGATACTTAGACTCCTGAGTGACTGCAACTGACAAACGCTTGGAGGCAGCTTCATTAGATCATTACAGTGATCAACTGTAAGCTCCAAGAGGCGAGGGAACATCTTGGGCAGGTCTATCGTTGGCTGATCAAGACAGCCAATAGTTTTGCAGAGAACTAAAGATATTTTCCGCAAATTTCTAAGGGAAATAGTTGCCTCTGGTAATTGAGCAATTGAAACTCTTTCAAGCCAGAGGCTTCTAAGGTTACCTAAATCTGAACAAACTGAAAAGTTGCGAAGGGTAGCAGGGCAGGAACTATGGTTTATCACTATGAGCGCCCTAAGCTTTTCCATGCCCTTGATGAAGGGAGGCAACAAGTACTCCTTAGAAGAGAAGTTGAGGAGTAGCACTTCTGCCTTGGGGAATTCCATGCGAAACCAATCCATTTCTTTCATTTCCCCTGCATTGTAAAATTGCAAGACATGAGCTAGCATCAAGGGCATATTACCACAGAATCAACCAAGATTTATTATACTGTTACTTTCCCTTTTTAATTGGATGACCATAAAATCAATGGCATTTTAACTGAGACGCAATCTATAAAGAGTGACATCTATACCTGTATGAATGGAAACAATCTGAGCATTGAATGGCTGATCAACATTCCGCTCCCATTCTTTTGGAAGCTCCTCGTCTCTTCTAGGCATAAATAACCGCTTGCGGTCATTTATCTTGTCACGATTGTTCCAATGGAGAGCAAGATCTCTAAGAACATCATGTTGAGTGACGTAGATCTCATAGTAAGCACTATACATGTCTCCAGCTCTGTTAATTGAGCACATTAAAAGCGTCAGAGTTCAGAAAATAACACTTCTATAGTAGGTCATGAAATCCTTAAAAAAATACCTTGAATCTTTAACTAGGGTGAGAAGGTTTCTATCACAAAGCTCCACAAGGATGGCAAAAGCCTCCTCCTGATCAATGTCATGGATCTCAACCCAGATATTGATGAGCACCTCCATTGGAATCTTTTTGTCTTCAGAAAAGGATCCCAAATCTAGGAAGCATTCCTTAACCTTTTCTGACAAGTCTTCGATGCTTATTGCCATCCGATCAAGCAATGCGGTTTCATGAGACTCACAAATAGGCTGTCCTCGTGATAACCTTTGCTTAGCACTTACCCAATATTTTTCAGGCCGATCCCTCAGTGATGCTCCAATAACTTTAAGAGCCAGAGGCAGCCCTCTACATTCGTTTACAATCTGTTGAATCAATTTTTTCATGAGCATCGGCCACAGAGAAAAATCAAAAACAGAAAGATACCAGCTATCAAATTCATGGTTGTATCATTCAATTTCCTGATAATGAGATAGTTTAATATTACCTCCTTGACCAAATTCTCATTTGCAGCTAGAGGAATGGTGTTCTGTTCAAAAGCAGAGTGGCAGAACAAGGATATTGATTCATCTTCTCTCAACAACTCTACTTCATGAACAGAATTGAGAACCGTTGAAAACTTGGTTCGGGAAACCACAAGTGTTTTGCAACCAGGAACCCTAAAAATAAGTTGTTGAAGCACTGCTAATGACCACACATCATCTAAGACCACCAAACTCCGAGGTCCTACTGTCCAAGGAACTTGTAGATTCCACGGTGGAACTGCACCATATGATCCCACATTACATCCAGATACGAAAGACCAAACCGTTGCCTTCAACAGCTCCACATTTGGAGATTGTGATACCGTAAGGAACAGAATTCTGTTGTTGAAGTAGCCTGGAAACGGAAATAAGAAGCAGAGTCAATGTAATTCGTTAAGATAAAATGCAATCTTAAAGAGAAATTACATAGAAAATCGGATTAAAACAATTGGCAAAAGCATCTTAAAAGAATTATGATATTGAGTTTAAAGAAGAAAACAAAATTTACCTGTGACTTGAATATCTCTGCAGACCTCGGCAGCAAGAGTGGTCTTCCCTGAGCCAGCAATCCCGCAAATCCCAACCACGCTCCAATCATCCCTTCCAATAATCATTTCCTTCACTTTCTTTTTCCCTAAAGCCATTCCTACTCCCATCAAATTCCCCAAATTACCCTCCACGCGTCTCTCATCCTCCGTTTCCACTCTCATCAAGGCCTGCTCAACCCACCCTCCGACTCCCACACCAATCTTCATCGACGAGAAGGACTCAAGACTCTTCTCAATCCTTCTCGTCGAAGCCTCCAGCTGATCAAACCT